GACTTTCACAATACTCGGGATACATTCGCATCGGGTTCAGCGTAATCGGAGGTTTCTTCATAGTGATGCTGGTCATCGCAGCCCTCATTGCTGCACGTCTTCTGTACCGCGCTTTTCGAGATCGACTCTACGCAGGCGCTGACACCGTGCTCACATGTGAGTGAATTTGGTGTTCGCTCATCTTGACACCACCTACATTTGAGTAAAAATTGCTGCAATGTGGCACTTTGGTTTAAAGCCAAAGAGGATTCCTTAAAATGACCAAATTTAATTAGAAAACCTCACAACATTTTACTGTGATTGGTAGAAGTTGCCAACTGCTATTTATATTTCATCGACTATTTAAACACTTTCTCAATAAATGACAATTTGTTCTAGAGAATGAACACGCAGAAGAGTACTAGCATGAAAATTTCCCTCGACACATATGTGTGGACCATAAGAGTAATCGTTCAATAGCAAATTGACCACGACAACGGCCTACAGCCTCATCATGATAGTTTTTTAGGTATCGCCTTTATTGTTTACAGATTCACCCGGTAATAAGTGGGACAAGATTGTCTGCGGAAAGGGGTCGGTCTGCTGCTGTTCGGCGATTTTCATTCCAATCCTGCTCATCTTCGCCGCCATTATTGCAGTGCTGCTATTCGCGTTGACGTCGGTATCAGGTTTGTTTACGACTCTTTAAACAGATGAAATTTCCCTGAAAATCGCTCTTGGTTGTGGTTTGAATGAGAGGTCATTGTCAAAATGACAAGATGAGTAAAATGTATATCGCTTTAAGGATTTAGTACGTGGAAAAATCTACCACTTATCTTCAGGAATATAATTGGTAGCCTCTCAGTCAGTGCCATTGATTGTGCAATTGACTTCTCAAATAGTGGGTCTCTTAGTCCTCTTAGTCCTCCTGTTACAAATGAGACTCCCGGTCACACCGCAGACGACATGAAGACAACTAGGTCCATGAGACGATGATTTATTATCCATTTTGAAATACCTTCTGCTAAAGGCGAAGCCTGCATCTACGTCACACGGGAAACAGGTGTGAACAAGACTGACTTCGTGGTGGACGGATTGTTGGCTCGGCGATGGTCGTCACTTGTCGGTAGGTCGGTTGGAGGAGCCAACGACTTCCTCAACACCCCACCTCCCAAACACGTGCTCTACGCCCTCACCCAGAGCTGTCGTGGCAGCACAAAGCAGTCATCCCGACGTGGCCTTCTGTCTGCTGTGGGGTACACTAATCTGGTGGATGTCTCGAAATTGGTTAATAGCCAACAAGTGCAGGAGGGAATTAAAGAAGGAAAGAAGTACGTTCTTCATGCTCTTTCCATGCGCAAACCACTTCTTAGGATGGTGGTTGCTTAAGAACCAATTCGCCTTTAATTGTGTGTCGGTGCAGGGACTAAACATGCATCGATATTGCAGTGCTCAATTACAACAAGTTTCCTGTGATGCGAAATGCACAATTTGGAAATTCAATGACAAACTAATTATAATGATTTGCAAGGATGTGGCTAAACTGGTGTATGCCAATCGGAAAAACCCGAGCACATCGATTTTGTCAAAACACCTACAAAATCTGAAGTTTCCCGGCTGCCTATCAACTCTAGATGTAACGGTAACTGAGTACTAGCCTGATTGCTAAGAATTTCGGTGACGCGATGGACCTTGGATTGGAACGTTGTGTCCTAGACCAGACCATTTTGAGTTAGTGTTTCGCATTCTCTTTTCAGAGTTGTTGTTGATGAAGTAAAGAAACTAAATGTCTCGTCAAAACTACCAAATCCAAGTGACTTGGACGCAGCAAAAAGTGGTCTCCAGAATGCAATAAACGGTCTTAATCTGACTGTAAGTTCAACGCTGCATACTGTCCTCAATTAAGAACGCATATTCACCATCAGTTTGTTCAATATCTGCAGCTAGAACGATTTGGAAATTACGATGGTTAAGCTAAAGCAATTTGCGGAAATTAGTTATTTTTTGAGGCAGTGCGTGTGATTGGCTGCTCTGTCGAAACGAATTGCTTTATCAATTACTCTGCATTCCCAAATCCTTCCTTCGAGAATCTACGTAGAGTGATTGATGGGGATTAAACAGTATTTGCCGCTTCACTGATGGTAATAAGTTACCCCTTCTCCTTTAAGGTACTCATCAACTCGACAGATTCGACGCTGCTAAACACTACAGAAATTGAAACACTTATTGCCAAACTGAACAATTTTACTGCCACGAACTTTACTGCCAAGAATTCTTCATTGCCTGACTTTTCGAAGGGAATCGCCGCTCTAAATGACACAGTCGTGCAAATGAACAAGCTCAAACCGCAGATGAATGCCACGCGTATTCAACTTGAGAACGTTAACCAGGAAAAAGATAATATTTCGTCGCCTGTTGAGGAACTAATTGGGGCCTTTAATGCAACTATTAGTGTAAGTTGGCATTCTAATTTCTGCAAATATTTTTCCTGGCGATTTCTGTGATCAATAATTATGCGTGTAGGTTAATTGGCCCAACTGACTGTCACTCACGAGGTTGAGTTCTTATTTAATCAATTCGTCAAACAACTACAAACATGGCCGAATTTGCATAAACCTAACCCGGACGTCTGAACTGTACAGGAGGAAGTTGACTGAAATGCTTTTTTCCAAACAGAGGTTTACAGCAATGAGATCACTCATTGTTAACAGAGGAGAGTTGTGAAAAATTCGGCCGAGATCACCAGTCAAAGACGTCAACAATAGAGTGTTTTAATCATGTCGGGGTTGCCAAATGTAGTTGCTGAATTTTAGCACTACCTTACAACCCTCTAGTTAACAGCTCAAGACAACACGAGAATGGAGCGAAGAGAGGCAACAGAGAACACGACCGTTTATTAGTGGCACAACAGCCAAGTGGCTTTGTGTGCGCGTGCATACGCGCGCCCAACAGAAGCCAATAACAGAAGGGGTGAGTCATTGGGACACCGGGGCCATCATACACGCATCAATCACGCGAGGCGGCTGTCAGTCCACTAAACACGGAAAGCAACAGGATACGCACGCACGCAAACATTATCACTTACACTTATCCAAAGGGGGGGGGGTGCGCACATTGCGGATTGTGTGATACCCGTGTGACATTGTAGCAAAGCACAATCAAAAGCACAAAGCACATTGATCGGTTGATAGCCAGTAAATGATTTCAGTGAAAGCACCAGACCACTGATCACAGTAGACTGTTTTACCTGGGGCTCATGACGAAACAGAAGGAATAAAAACGAGACCAGATTGGGAGGAGGGGGAGTTAAATGTATCTGCGGTGATTCCATTTGACGAGTCCTGCAGCAAGTAAAGGTGAGACTTTTATTAAGTTGTGACTAAAATAGGCAGATGTACATTTACCAATTATAGATTGCTGGTAATGAATCCAAGTTGGCAGACAAAGTCGAAACTGAGTATGACAAGGTGACCAAGCAACTGCTTGCCTTCATGGAGAAGGACGGTGGTGAGGCATTCTCCCATCTCACCAAGGAACTCTTCCCCTGTGAGGAGGCCTACCAAGCAGTCAATGTGGCACTGGCTGTGTCCTGCGGTGACGAGGGCGCCCTCAATCGATTCATCGGTGTGGTCTACGTCCTGGCACTCACCGTCCTCTTCATCTGCTTCTTCTACTTCTCCCTCTTCAACCTCGCCTTCATGCAGGCCATCCAGATTCATCGATTGTCGGCCTCGGAACTCGAAGACTCTAGTATCGACTTCGAAGACGATGAAAGCGAGGACGAAGATTCCACCTAAAAAGATTTAACAAACACGTGTATTTCTTATTTGAATTTTTAAATTGACCCCTATATATCTTACCAGATTCTTAAAGTGTGAAATATAGTTTTGTATTCCACTCATCAACCTATTATGAAAAGTCGTCGTAAGTATGAGCACTTAGTGGAACTTAAATTTTGCACAGAGGTCTAGTAATTACGCAGTTGTGGGTGAGTACTGAAGTGGAAGCGTAGGTGGAAGTCATTTTGACGAAAAGACCACAATTTGGCATCGACTTTGGTTCTGCCAACTGCCAAGTGTTGGACCCCATGCTGACGTTCAACGCGTGGGTCTAAGACGTCAACAGTTAATGGTGAATTCAAGTGGGTAACTAACAAAAGTGACGTCAAGGCATTCGCCATGCTCGGGGGCTTAATCTACATGTGCTGCTCATCTTGCCACGGTGCTTGAAGCATCACACACAGTGATCTGTTTTGGCGGACAGTGAAATTAGTTGGCTGACCACCTTCCGTCATGTGACTTGAGCCGGGGCTGAGTGACTCACACTTTTCGTAACTTTCCCAACTCACATAGAATTCGCAATTCGACGCAGTGTGCTTTCATCAGGTTAGTGTCCCAGCGATGATTTGAGGTATTCTGAGGTACTCGTGAGACAAGCAGTGTAAAATTTAGATATCAATCTAAATTTGTCCTAAGTTAAACTATGCTGATTACGTGGAAACTCTGGCTAAATCAATTTCTAGCAGTACGAATCTCAATTTGTTGAATAAATGTACTGTTAAGCATTTTCTCCTTACTCTACAACGTTTAGTTACAATTTCCGGAGTGTCATTGCCGATTCCGGCAAGTCTGTCTGTTTGTGTTGAAGTTGCTTTTATCTAAAAACGTTAACCACTCACAAACTCCAAATGGATATTGCCTGATATCCATTGTTCGTGTGTCACTCCACTCCACACTGCAGGCGGTAGAGAGACAAAACGACGACTGCTTATTTGTAATACAACTTAGAGCTCCACAAGGCCATTGGGGATTGAACCCGAGCTCACCACCACAGCCAGATATCATCCACCCAGGAAGTTACAGGGGGCAGGTACAGTTAACGAGGGTTTCTCGTGAGACGCATAATGCAAGTGCAATGTTTAGACTCTACTCTCGTTATCTGTCATTGGCTGGATTGAACCACATTTACTTTGTTGAGGCCCTTTACCACACGAAGTAACCCAGGGAGACAATAAGTCCAGAGATGGCAGGCGCGACCCTTTACTAGACAGCTCAACGAAGTTGTGTTTTGATGACTGATACAGTTGAGTGTACTAGTAAAAATGTAGCCATCTGAATGGTCACATGGATAAAGCGGGTGGTGGTGGTGGTGGTGGTGATGGTGGTGGTGGCGGCGGCGGCGGCGGCACATACAGAGGGGTGGTGAGAAGGCGGTCACAGGGCTTGACGGGCACGCCTGAAATGGTGGACGTGGTATGAGGCCGCAACAAATGGGTTATTGGGAGTGAATCAACACGATTTACTACAACTTCAGTTCCGTTTGTCTCTGTGATCCGCTGCGCATGTGATGATTGACGGAAAGCGTCAGACCACATTGAAAGTGCAGCAAAATCACAATCCTGTGAATAAATCATGCAACTGGAGAACAAATCCGGTGGCACATCGCACAGCTCAACTAATCAGACGATGGCAAATCGCATCACTAACCTGGTGGTCAAGTGGTGCATGCGAAGGTGTCACATGGGGTAAAGAACTTTGGATTTCCCGAGTATTGGCCTGACTCAAACCTCAAACAACTTTTTGCGGTGAGAGCTGTGAAGCTCCGTGAATGGTCACTCGTTCTTATGGTCCAACGCCTGCCAACACATTCGAGCGCAATCCTAGCAGTGAATCAAGACGGTTGCTAGCACCGATTAGTGTCCGCATCCACACGATCTTCAGTTTCCACGACAATGTGTGATTGTGGCTTCAACATTTTCAATTTTCGTACTATCACAATGCTCCTTAGGATCCGTCGTGGATTCGAATCCCATTCACAAATACCTTGATGATGACTGCGATTACTTAACCAATTGCTAGGTATCTCAACCTAACTGTTCCACTTGCGCATCGTCACAAATGTCTACAAATGGAAGCGGACGATGAATGTGAACAATTTTGTCAAACTACTTGAAGCGAGAAGAGAATGGACATACTGAGCGGCGATTTCGTCAGCCTTCGAAGCATCTGAACCGATCCGACGATTGATCCTAATCCGGCAATGCATTTCTCAACGGAGACCATGGTAGCTAGCACGTTCTAGTGATATCCTTGATGTGGACACAATTAAATGCTAGTATTAATATGTGTCTGCGTCCACACGTTTGTTAATTCCCGGGAAACGATATGACGAATTTGCCATTTTGCTCATCTGGCAACAAATGATATTGTTATTGAAAGCACGTTGCGGATTCGCATGACGCTGTGAAGTATCGGTTCCATTAACAAATACTCCGACGCCATCGAGAAAGCCAGAGAAACTCAATTTCCTACATTTGAAACTGCTTGTAAATGGCAATGCGACGACCCAACTGCATTTATGTGAAGATGACTGCTTTGTTGATTGAAAAAAACTCCATTCTAGGCCAATGACACTAGAGCCTTCTCAAGTGGAAGGGTTTCATTGTCAAAAGCCAAGATTTTTTTTATCCGACAACTGCCTTACAACTGTCGATAAAGCCCACAAGAAGAGAGACGTTCTTCTGGATCACCGCGAAGCATGCAGTGACTGGCAGAAAGTTGAAAAGGTGAAATGTATGTGGGACGAGAACTAGGCACAGTTAGAGCAAGTAGCAAGTGACCAGGCAACGAGCGAGATTAACCCTTATGACTCAGACGATCAATCAAAGACGATTGGCGAAGCCGTGCTAAGTGTTGCACTCGCTCCTCAACATGGGCGTTCGGTAGAGACGGGCTTTGTGGGTACCATCTTATTTGAGTTAACGTCAAATTGACAGCAGATGAAACTCGCCTCTCTTCTCAAAGTGTGCTAGCTCACATCATGTGTATTTACCGCAAGTTATCAGATTGGAGATCAAAAAAAGAATTGATGTTTTCATCTGTGGTGTCATTCGAATCGCCTGTGTTTATTGCTCATTAGCTCTGTAGAGATCCAAACTGATTCACAGAGAAGAGTTTATCGACAAAACACCAGACCTTTCTTTGTGAGAAAATCGCATTTTAGAGGATTTTCTCCTTATTTGAGGTCTTCAGATGGGTGCTCTTCAGATGCCCACGGCATTAGTTTCATGAATGAAATTTTGGCTCTTCATTTTATAGACCCTTTCAGTGAACCTTGCCGAATTGTCTGCCACTGGCAAGACAGACCGGCGCGTGCATCCTAGTCGGATTAGTGATAATAATTGGTGGCTTAATCAAGAATGAGAGAATAGATGGTTGCGAAGTGGCGGGAATTTGTGTATTTCACCTCTTAACTCCTTCAGCTGACATTTCATCTGCCTTTTCTTACATCACCCACTCATTTGCATCTACATGTGCAAGTCGAAATAAGAAGATGGCTGCCATCGAAACTGTGGCAGTAGCCCAGATGATCCACGGTCTTTGCCGAAACTCCTCTCAGGACGTCCTCGCCACTCAATGCATTAGGATGCATCAGTTCACTTGTCAAAGGTCACACGTTCAACGTCAGCCGCGATTTCTGTGGAACAGGCAGTGCAAATAGAGAGCCACGGAATATCGTTTTACTTCCTCGTGAAACACACTTCCCCACTGGCGATGGATTAACTGGCGTGAGTCGCAGTGTCTCGTGTATGGTAGACGTGCACAGCAACACGCCAAATGCTTGTGCGACCCTCCCTACCCATCAGATGTGCCTACGCGTCAGATCTACAAAGGCTCTGAAGGTCACTAAATTTATGACGTGATTTAGTATCTGCACTGCAAACAGTAATGTCAATCTAAATTAGCGCTTGGAAAGTATGTGTGTCCCGAATTGGTAGCTTAGTTACCAACGGAAAAGCAGAGCCGGGAACTCAGATTAAGTGCTTTGTGAGAACTTGGAACTTGTCCTATCACGTGACACGAGTTCGTGGTGATCTGGAGGACTAGATCAGGGAATTGTTGACATCCACGTCCTCTCCTGAGTCCCTGTCCACATCCGTACTTCCAATACTTGGGTCCACGTCGTCAACCGTTAATGATGTGCCAAAGTGGGTAATTGGTTAAATTTAGTAAAAAAAATCTCCACTTCAGCATAAAGACGTCAATACATTCACCTTGCACGGGTCATTATTAATGATGTCAGAAACGGGAAAAAAATTTCACGTTAAATATACTACGGAAATTCACAAATTTCCGCAACTACATGGTACTTTAAATAATAGCTAAGCACGTGGATTTGTTCAAACCATCTACCCAATTTTAGCCAAATTCTGCCAATTTATTTCATCACAAAAATATGGAATTTTAGAGTTCTAATGCCATGACAGGATCCTAAAAGAAGCCAGTTGTTAAAAATTTAAATATTTTGCTAGCTATGGTCCCCGTTTTTTCACTTCTCCATGTTCGAAAGGGTATTTTTTATTTTGCTAAATTTCGGACCATTTTGTAATGAAAACAAACAGGAAACTGATGGCTATCTCTAAAACCAACGTGAGATGTGCTTTGACACGAGCCAAGCGCACGGTGAGGTGGCTTAATCTGCGTGTGCTGCTCATCTTGACATGGTGCATGAAGAATCACACGTAGTGATGGGTTTTCGAAGTCCGCCTCGCACAAGGGGTACACGTGAGGTTCTACGTCAAATTCAGTGGTTACCTTAATTAACCAATCCATGGGTGAAAATAACGGTCTTTTATCGGTGGCTTCACGAAAAAGGTCACTTTTGTGTTTCACACTACCGAGGAGGACTCAGTACTGAGACATGTTTAGACGCCCATTGTCGAAATCGTGACGAAGCAATGACGACTTGACTTCCACACCAAAATTCCAACCCACGTTGCAGTGTTTTGCTGACGGAT